TTGCATTTGACAAAATATTAGTTATCTATAAAGTATATATTACGTATATTAAATATAAATTAGAAACCTAATAAAAAAAAGTGTCGCAACCTTTTAGTGAGCGAGTGTACATACATATGTGCAGACAATTTATAAGCAAATACATCAGAAATTTTCTTTAGTGATCACTTCTACAAATAATTGTTACTAATAAAACGTTTTATTCGATTCACACATTGAATTTATTGATTTATTGTATCGAATTCATATTATTACTTATCTGTTTTATTACTTGTGAGGCACTTTCCTCAATTCGGTTCTGGATTTAACATGGTGGATACTCATGTGATCCGGAAAAGGAGATCAAAGGCGCCGACACAAAGTGGACCTACTAGTTATAATGTGGCGCGACCGGCTTGTGGCAGTACCGCAAAAGTACTAGAAAATATTAAAAATGTACTAAAAATGGCGTCGAATAGCCAATCATAAGATTGATTTATTCGGCAGCCATTTATAATATCGGTAAATCAATCTTATGATTGGCCATTTGCGAGTCTAATCAGGACTCGTAACACCGGTCGCGCTTCTCTGATAAGTCCCAAAACACAATGGGTGTAGTAAGCCTTAAGCCATAAAAAATAGATAAATCACAATCGAATGTAAAGAGAATAATCGGTTATATTGGTTAATTTCTTAATTATAATTGGTTAATTTCTTAAGGGCTTAAGGCTTATTATTGTATTTCGGCAGTAATCTAGGACTCTAGATGTAGTAAGCCTTAAGTCGTAAGAAATTGACCAATCATAATCGATTATGCTGGATGCACAGGATGCGGTAACACAGGGTGCTTTCCAATTTTAAAATCACTAGATACTTTTGTGCACACAGCGACACAAATTGTGTTCCAATTGTTCTAATCATCGACACAACCCAACACATTCGTACTTAGCTCGAGGCTACTAGAGTCCTAGATTATCAGAGAAGCGCGACCGGTGTTACGAGTCCTGATTGGACTCGCAAATGACCAATCATAAGATTGATTTATCGCTATTATAAATGGCTGCCGAATAAATCAATCTTATGATTGGCCATTCGACGCCATTTTTAATATTTTCTAGTACTTTTGCGATACTGCCATAAGCCGGTCGCGCTTCTCTGATAATCTAGGACTCTAGCGTATTGTAGAACAGGCCTAATACTCAAAGATCGCTGAGTGGAAACATCCATGGTGTAATAAAGATAGAGGTGTGCTCGTTAGGTAGACCTAGAGTCCTAGATTATCAGAGAAGCGCGACCGGCTTATGGCAGTATCGCAAAAGTACTAGAAAATATTAAAAATGGCGTCGAATGGCCAATCATGAGTTTGATTTATTCGGCAGCCATTTATAATAGCGATAAATCAATCTT